CTCTTGGCTTGAGTGAATAAAAACATACACACACATAAGGAGATCATATAAAATTTATACTGATCGTACGGGACGATATCCGTTCGTACTGGATGATCACACAGTTATCTCCTATTGAGCACATGGAACGAATAGGAACTGGCTTGAAAAATTTTTCTAAGTCCTATTCGTCCAGGACGAAATTAAATATCGTCCAGGACGATTTATCCTCTGTAAAATTTTTGTCTAGACGAAATTAAATTATCGTACATGACGATTGGTGCTCTGTAAAAATTTCGTCCAGACGAAATTAAATATCATCCAGGACGATCTGGTATCTGTAAAATTTTTGTCCAAACGAAATTAAATTATCGTACATGACGACATTAAAAAAACACTAAAAAATGCTGTTAATAAACATAGTGAGAATGTTTACCTCTCTGTGAACTTCTTAATGCTTTCATTGATAAAATGTTTCTTTTTAGAACTCAACATCTCTAAGCCAATGAAGTTCACTGTTAGACTTGGAAACTTACAAGTTAATATAACATGATCAACATTGATTAGTTCTTTTTAAGATGGTTCTTTTTGGGATAGAACCTTTTGGGATAGTTCTTTTTGGGATGGATTAGGAATATCTAATTTCTACTTCTTGTACACCATTTCAATTTTTATTAAACTGACTTCCTCTTCTGAGTCAGCTACTTCTTTATCATTAAAATCTTTTGTCTTCACATGGACATTGGACTGCGCTATGACTTTGGACAGCTCTAGGACATTGGACTGTTCTAGGACTTTGGAATGCTCTGGGATATTGGACTGTTTTGGGACATTCGACTATTTTGGGACATTGGACTTCTATGAGGCTTTGGTCTCATTTGGGGGTTTGGTCTGGTCTACAGCTTGGGTCTTTGTATGTTCAAATGATTTTCCTATATTTTGCATTGGGTGATTTCATGATGAGGAGAGAACAGGTTATTGATCAAGATTAAGAGTGTCTTGAATAATGCAATTATGGAGCTTATAATCATTTAAATCCACTCTTTGAACTATTTACTCAAACTTCCTACTTATCCTACCTTCAAATTCAAGGAAGAGGTTTGTGCAAATATCCTGTACTATTTTGATTATTTTCTCTTGGAGAATATTGAATGATTGAGGTGAAAATGGAAAGTGTGGTTGCTTAGGTGATTGGGGTTGGGTAGGGATTGTTGGGCAGATTGGGGTTGGGCTTGCTGGGAAGAATGAGGTTGGGGTTGCTGGGGAGATTAGGGGGTGAGAAGTTGTTCATGAGTGGGGGTTTAAATGGGAGAATGATGGCTTGATGAATATTTTTAGATGCCCAGTAGATTAGCTTCTTCCTGCATAACTCCCTAGAGTCATAAAAAATCTGTGGAAAATTAATTTGTTAGCAAATCCCTATTCTCAACTATCTTTAAGAGGTATTTATTGAAATTAACAAATAAATCTGCATACGTACATTCTTTTTCTTTAAATTAACAAATAATTTAGTTGTCTTCTAGGTATAATATATAATATCATCGACCCATCGAAGAAAATGAGGCATTTTATCAGGGTACTTAGGGTGATGAATGGAAGTGTGCTCCAGGAATCAAACATGTATAAGATCAAAGTTAATTTTAGCAAATGAATTAGTCAAATTAAATGTTAAATTAGAATAATTTTAGCACTCACAATTAGCAGAGTCAAAACCATTAATCTAACCAGCTGGCTTATTCTTTGAAATATTTATTGATACATTATTAAGCTCTTTAACCAAGCATTCCAAAAATGACCATGCGCAATTAATTGATAAAAACTCATCTATGTTATTTGTAACAACCTAGGGGTTTTAAAGTTGATTTGTTGAAAAAATAAATTTGAACATAAATACATAATAATTTTTTTGAACATAGTCTCTAAGGGGCTATGTCTATTCAACTCTAGCATTTCCGACTTTATATCCTTTAAGGTGACAGTTGTAGTGGGCAAGGTAAGTCAGGAAATCTCTTCACCTTTGTTTGGAATACCAATAAGGAGAGCCACTTCATCAGTTGTGAAATGAATAGCATGACCCTCTATAATAAAACTTTGTTTTGGTATATTCCACATTATAATCAGCTGGTAAATAAGTGGGGCATTATACTCGAATCCAAGAAATTAAAAAAATTAGTAGATATTTAGGTTCTTCAATTTATCTTCAACTTCATCAGAATTATCTTAGCAAAAATATTACAGATTGTTCTGAATGTTGAAACATAATAGTGATAAGAGATTAGATGGACATAGATATGCGTAAATTAAGAAAATAAATATTAAATAAGATAAGCAGATGATACGCAGAAATTACGTAAAAGATATGTAGACGATACACATAAGATATGCAGAATATACGCAGAAGATACGTAATCGGTATGCATAATATACGCAGACTATATGCATGCTATACGGGATAAGATACACATAATAAACTCAAAAGAAACACAAAAAGTACGCAGAATATACAGATAATATAAGCAGAAATAAAGAATTATTTACACTAAAATTAATTAGAAGGTGAGAAATGACTATTCTTGTTTCTTTATTGGAAAGTTTTTATTTTTTATGATTTTAATATCCATAGTATTTATTTTAAAATATTAAAGTTTGAGTCTTCAACATATACACAGAGAATAAGCAGAATATACGCAAAATATACGTAGAAATCACATAGAATGTGAAAAATATATGATCTTTTATCCTTATCGGGATGTTTTTATTTTTTATAATTTCTTCCAAGGTTGTGAAAACCAGACGGACAACAAACCGGTAGAGGGAGCAGTTCACGGTTCGACCGGTTCAACCGATCGAACAGGGGTTAAACAAGATGACATAATAAATAAAATTTAGATGACATAAAAATCATATAGTAATATAATTTTTTTATCAAAAAATAAATTGAATTCACACATTACTAATATCTTATATTTAATATTTATAGTACACAAAAAATAAATGAAGAATATAATTTATTTAATATTATTAATTAAAAATAAATATTATTTACATCATAAAAAGATTATTTAAAAAATCTATTTTAAAATGAATAATGTATATTATAAACTTCAAAGTTATGAAGAAATACATAAGATATTTAGTTTTTTTAGTCCCACATTATTTGAGAGACTTTCTCTTGGTAATACTTTTACTTTATAATAACTTTTGAGCTTGAAAGAAGTATTACATCATGTAATGAGATGAAATTTTATGAAATGCTTGGTTGAAATTTTTTGCAGGAACCACAGAGAACTACGAAAATACCGAAAATTGAAATCTATATAGACGTTTGAAATGTGAAAATTCCCGCCTTTTCATCTTTATTTTGGGCAAGCAGGTATCTGTTCGTCTCCAGTCGACAAGTCAAATGAATATCCCATACTTACATGCAAGCACACCATGCGTAAGAATTTTATTGGCATCCGAACACAGCTCTATGTCCGGAATGCGCACAATAATTTCTCCCTATCAAGGCATTCATTACAACTTTTTAAAAGTAAAATTTGAATGGTCTCAATGCTAATTCAAAAAGAACTGATTTGAATATAGTGTGTTTTGAGATTAAAAAATCTGTTCAGATTGGTATTTTGATTTGATGAATCTTTTAATGACATGAAATATAATCTAGTGCATACTTTTTAATAAAATTATGTTGTAAAAATTTGATACAAAATAAATTGACCTATACACTACCGTACAAAATAAATAAAAAATAAACTTTAATAAAACAGAATCACAAACAGTAAAAAAGCTATGATGGTCATTAATTGATCACTACAACATACTTTAACTGCCTACTGCTTCCATTATCCTTCCGTTCGCTAAATAAATGTTCAGCAGCAAAGAAAATGTGAGGCCTAGAAAAATTGAAGTATACGCTGTAAACGGGCACAATACAATCATACAGCTGCTCCCAACCCAGTTTTAACAGTCATGTACACTGCATAGAGAAGATGCAGCAGAGCCCAATCTTATGGGTAAATCGTTCCGAAGATTCACCACCATTCAATCCGCAGTCCAGTTCAAAAATATTTCGACAATCTCTTATTTAATAAATATTTATTTTTTTTAATTAAATTGTTTTTCTTCATCACCAAAAAAAAATCGTTCAGAATTCTGATTTTAGCTTAAATTTCGCCTAAACTCTTGAATTTCAGCCAAAACCCTTGATTTTTGGCTGAAACCTTCAAATAGCCTAAACTGAAACAATAAGTTTCAAACTGGTTTAATACAAAAACGTTATGGGTGAAGAGTATTAAGTTCCATGCTAAAAACATGGGAAATGAACTTGACATAGAACCAAATCCCACTAGTTGCATGCCGCTTCAACTGCCAAAGATTTGGTGATTCCGGGGCAGAAATCTTTAGAGAAGTCACCTTCTAAGAAGGGGATGGTGCACTGCGTCTTATTCAGACATACCTGCCACAGTTACACGTAAAAACTACATAAGAGGAAAGAAAAAGTGTAAACTTGGTATAGGTGACCAAGGAGTTTGAGTTATTGGCGTCACTTGCTCTTGCTATGTGAAGAAGGTAATTGAAAGCTTACAAATGGTTAATTGACAAAGAAGAACATAAAAAACAACTGACCTTCGATGTTCTTAAGGATGTTAATGATCCGATCTCAAAATGATCTTAACCAAGCTCAAGAACAATGAAAGTTCAGTCAATCTAATCAGGATCCTAGCCATATTTAACTTATATGGTCAACAACCAGGTCATGATTCAAGCAATCATGTGCTTTTATTGATATCAACTCGTGATTGCTCGATCTATAATTGACGATAACACATTAGATCCTTATAAATTGAGCATTAGCCAAAATTGTGTGCATATAGATACCGTACGTAAGAACTAGTGTCTACGTAAAAATTGTGTATATAGATATCATACTTGGAAACAGACTAGACTGCATGTGTGTGTACATGCATATTTCAATCTGATATGGAGCTATTTGATAGAATTTGAAGCCAAAATTCAACGAATTTTCAATTAATATTTAACATTCGAGCAAAACTTAATAGGGCAAATTGTGACCAACATATTGATGCATTGACTTGTACAAGAGAAATATTCTGCATTACATATTGATATGCTGATTTTTACTGCGAGATAAGAAAGTTCACAGCATGAAACCACTTTAATGAGAACTTTTGTATTCAACAGAAAGGATTTACCTTTTCAATGATAAGAACAGATGAGGGATGATGGCAGATTCCTTGTTGATAGGATCCACATGCACCACTTGGATTTCCGTAGCTGGCAAACCTAATAGAGGAAATTGAAGAGTTCTCAGGGCAGTCTAAATGGAGAGTTGCTCTCCCTTCACCATTAGACCTGACTGCATTTTCCCAATTTTCCAGGTCTACAAAAGGAAAATCCTCTGATACAGAACTGCATATTTTGGAGATCCGGCGTCTTGAAAATGTAATTCTTGTAGGATCTCCACCTTTTTCTTCAAAAATAACAAGAACATTACCAGAAGGTTTGAACCAAGATAGTGGAATATGATACCTGATACCAAATTTGCACAAATAAATAAAAAGATTGTATACTTTCAAAAAAATTGTTACAGATTATTTGGTTGCAAGTTAAATATAAACGTCAATAAGCAAAATCAGGGATGCTGCAATTTATGTTAGAAATTCTAGTTTCTGGGTCCGATAATAGATTCAAGATACTGTTGAAAATAAAAGGATTACAATGCTTCATTTTTCTTATTCTAATAGGCAGAAGACGTACCATATTCATAGCCAAGTTGTGAGTGTATAACAGAAAGAAACCTAAGGTATAAAATAAGGCCATACCTGCATACCAACCCAATAAAGAAGGAAAAACGTAAATGAAGTCAACATAACTACTTACAACTACTTCAGGAATGAACGCAGCAAATAATTCCTTTCCTCATCAAGAATAAAGCTAGAGGATACCACAAGTAACACAGCAGCTTGCAGGTTGTGAGGGAGGCAGAGGAAAAGAATGAATGATGCAAGGTTGGCAGAGGCATAGCTGGGAATATCCATTGATCATTCCAAGCTAGGAAATAATTGTTATAACCGGTTTGACGGAACCAGTTTAATCAAACCAGTCTAGTAGCAGTTGAAGATTGAGCTGAGTGAGGCACGCATAAAAACAATGTGGAGAAGGCGAGACCAAGCATAGTGGGTGAGCAGTAGAGACCGAGCGAGCAGGCGACAATGAAGCAACGTGATTGAGCAAGAAACAAATGCAACTCCAAACAGATTTAATTTTGAAAAATGATATATTCGCTGGAAGTTCAGTGGAGACGAAACAAAAGAGTGAGAGAACGACTTCGATTAGCGAAGGAGAAGAGAAATCCGGGCCAGTCAAGGAGATGCTTGCAAAAATATATATAGGAAGGAGAGCGTTAGGAGAATGAAGTTGTACTTGGTGCATTCACTAAAATCAGAGAGAGAAGAATAAAAATGGTTTGTGAATTTCATTTTGGATGAAGGAGAAAGAATAAGTTATTTATTCAAATTACAAGGAAGAAATTTATTGCTATATTTTTCTTAATCTGCTATTGTAAAGATTTTCAACAAGAATAAGTACAGTCGAAGAAAACCTTGATTTGACAAAAAAGGAAGATTTATTTTTAGGTATTTTATGCAATTTAAAAACATTTCATTTCAACTGTTAGGAAATAAACTAGACAATGAAATTATAATTATGGCTTTAAAATTTTGTAGGTATTCAATGTTATCTTTGATGATGATTGATGCATTTGATGTCGACTTAGACAATGTTCGTGATAGGAAATACTTGAGTTCGCAAGTAACCCAAAGGTAATACTTGAGTTCGCAAGCAAACCTATGACTAATTGGAAGAAAACAGCGAGAATAGCATAAAATTTGGGCGAAATCAGCCCCAAAATGAAAGGTTGCAATCCACGAAATAAAGCAAAACACATACGAAAGCAAGATACAAGTGATCCCCAATTCGAGAGGAGGATTGTCTCTCCCAAATCTCTAGACAAGAGAGTCTAGAGCCCAAGCACCAAGAAACCCTAATTCCCAATCAATCAAAACATCCCCTCCCCCTAATCCCCTCATGCACTTTAATACAAACACTTTCCTAAACTAATTTCCCTCCCAAAACACTAGCCTCTCCTCTATTCAAATTTGAACCTCACAAGGATGGGTGGGCCCCACCTTAATTGGCAAAAAATTAGAGGCGGGCTCTGTTCCGCCTCCTATAGTAACATTGAGCCGGCCCTTTGGCCGGCTGGGCCGGCTCACTGTGAGCCGGCGTAACAATACCGCCCTCCCAAAGAATCACCTTGTCCTCAAGGTGAAAATCCGGAAACTGCTGTTTCGTCCTTTCATATGGCTCTGTTGACCCTAACATACGATCCTTTCCTATAAATAACCTCATCAGTAGAGGCAAAACTGAGTTTGTTATGTAGTGATTGAGGAAGCCACCAAATGAGCCTCGGACAAGTTCGTACAGAAACATTTCTCTTTTATCTATAGTGGGCCATGGTGGTATGGGAAAGACAACTCTCCTACAACATGTTTATAAAGATGAAATGACAAAGGAAATTTGATCTTAGAATATGAGTTTGTGTTCCCAACAAATTTGAAAAAAAAAAAAAGAGAACCATTGCAGATATGTTGGAATCTCTAAAGAAGGAGAAGCTTTCGAAGACATTTGAGGCATTTCAATACAGTATTCGGACTAAGATAAAGTCCAAAAGTTCTTACTTGTGCTGGATGACATTTGGAAGAATGATAAAAAAATAGGAAAAAGCAAACGGGAGAAGGTGCTCGTCCCTTTGGCTTATGGAAGTTTGGGAAGTAAAATTTTGGTAACAACCCGAAGGGATTCAGTTGCACTAATATTTGCAAAGGTAATTAAAAGGGAGGAGAAAATAATTAAATTAGCGGGCCTAGAAGAAGACGAGCATTTGGTACATCTCAACTCTCATGCATTTGCTGGTGTAAAGAACCACTCTCCGATGATCACAAAAAAAAAATTATTTAATGGCTTTCATCGTAGCCAAATTTGATCTCGAATTACATCAAATGGATAAAAAAATCGTTATTATTATTATTGATGATTCGAAAAAAACTGTGTTCGCACAACAACCAGAAAGTTTTGATGATAAAAAATATTATGTTGCTTAACATATACAACAGTTCTACTCAACCAGACCTGGAATTTCCTATCGGTGTGGTGAGTCGATGCATGGCTAATCTTGATAAAAGGCATTGGAAGGCTATAAAATTGTCATGGGATACACAAAAGTATCTTTAAACGTTGGTAAAAAAGAAGAAGAAGAAGAATTTCAAATTCTGAAATATGTTCAGGTGCTCCAAGATCTTGTTGGGCCACTTGTCACCAAGATTTGGTGGAAACGTCAGTTGGAAGTATACTCTACAGTATAATATTGCGTTGCCTTCAATTGAAGCATGGTCCTTTGTTGCTACCAAAAAGAAAAAAAAAAAGAATTGAAGAAGACTTATGGTCAGAAGGTTTAAGTTTCTTTGACAGAATACTGTCGCGTTATATATATGATGTGAAGCCACATTTTATTATAGATGTCATTACCAATGGCAATGTTGAAGATCTGAAAAGCATATCTAAGGCAATCCATCAAATGCAATGTCCAAATATATGCTAATTGAGAAGTTCAAATACTAATTGAATTTTGTCAAGTGTCATCATGCTGAACTCAATTTAAGTAAAGATTAAAGTGGACATTGATCACCTCTGTGCAAAATCCTGCAAATCTCGGAGAAATACACCACTAATCACCTGATGCTTGGCAGCCTCATAATATGTATATATATAATATTGCTTTCTAAAAAAAAAAGGGGAGTTGATTATCACGATAAGGCTTTCATTTGGTTATTGGCTTAAAGAAAAATAATAAAAAAAATATATAAGATCAGCCAAGCTAAAGTCAAACAAGCGAGTCATGATCAAATTAATGCTAACCTTGTATCAAACAA